AATATTTTTGCTACAGCCTATTATCATATACTGGCGGAATCTGTGAACTCTCAATGATCAATAATAACACTTAAAATCGCTCTATCTCTTCTAGTTTAGCCAGAAAACGCGTTTAAAGTTTTGCAAATGATTTTTTTTAAATATATCCAAAAATATTTTTGCTACAGCCTATTATCATATATTGGCGGAATCTGTGAACTCCCAGTCATCGCAAAAAACAATTAAAATCGCTCTATCTCTTCTAGTTTAGCCAGAAAACGCATTTAAAGTTTTGCAAAAGATTTTTTCAAATATCTCCAAAAATATTTTCGCTACAGCCTATTATCATATATTGGCGGAATCTGTGAACTCCCAGTCATCGGAAAAAACAATTAAAATCGCTCTATCTCTTCTAGTTTAGCCAGAAAACGCGTTTAAAGTTTTGAAAAGATTTTTTCAAATATCTCCAAAATTATTTTCGCTACAGCCTATTATCATATATTGATGGAATCTGTGAACTCCCAGTGATCACAAAAAACACTTAAAATCGCTCTATCTCTTCTAGTTTAGCCAGAAAACGCGTTTAAAGTTTTGCAAAAGATTTTTTTAAATATCTCCAAAAATATTTTTGCTACAGCCTATTATCATATATTGGTGGAATCTGTGAACTCCCAGTCATCGCAAAAACAATTAAAATCGCTCTATCTCTTCTAATTTAGCCAGAAAACGCGTTTAAAGTTTTGCAAAAGATTTTGTTAAATATCTCCAAAAATATTTTTGCTACAGCCTATTATCATATATTGGCGGAATCTGTGAACTCCCAATGATCACAAAAAACACTTAAAATCGCTCTATCTCTTCTAGTTTAGCCAGAAAACGCGTTTAAAGTTTTGCAAAAGATTTTTTTTAAATATATCCAAAAATATTTTTGCTACAGCCTATTATCATATATTGGCGGAATCTGTGAACTCCCAGTCATCGCAAAAAACAATTAAAATCGCTCTATCTCTTCTAGTTTAGCCAGAAAACGGGTTTAAAATTTTGCACAAGATTTTTTCAAATATCTCAAAAATTATTTTCGCTACAGCCTATTATCATATTTTGGCGGAATCTGCGAACTCCCAGTGATCACAAAAAAAACACTTAAAATCGCTCTATCTCTTCTAGTTTAGCCAGAAAACGCGTTTAAAGTTTTGCAAAAGATTTTTTTAAATATCTCCAAAAATATTTTTGCTACAGCCTATTATCATATATTAGCGGAATCTGTGAACTCCCAGTGATCACAAAAAAACACTTAAAATCGCTCTATCTCTTCTAGTTTAGCCAGAAAACGCGTTTAAAGTTTTGCACAAGATTTTTTCAAATATCTCCAAAAATATTTTCGCTACAGCCTATTATCATATATTGGCGGAATCTGTGAACTCCCAGTGATCACAAAAAACACTTAAAATCGCTCTATCTCGTCTAGTTTAGCCAGAAAACGCGTTTAAAGTTTTGCACAAGATTTTTTCAAATATCTCCAAATATATTTTCGCTACAGCCTATTATCATATTTTGGCGGAATCTGCGAACTCCCAGTGATCACAAAAAAACACTTAAAATCGCTCTATCTCTTCTAGTTTAGCCAGAAAACGCGTTTAAAGTTTTGCACAAGATTTTTTCAAATATCTCCAAATATATTTTCGCTACAGCCTATTATCATATTTTGGCGGAATCTGCGAACTCCCAGTGATCACAAAAAAACACTTAAAATCGCTCTATCTCTTCTAGTTTAGCCAGAAAACGCGTTTAAAGTTTTGCAAAAGATTTTTTTAAATATCTCCAAAAATATTTTTGCTTCAGCCTATTATCATATATTAGCGGAATCTGTGAACTCCCAGTCATCGCAAAAAACAATTAAAATCGATCTATCTCTTCTAGTTTAGCCAGAAAACGCGTTTAAAGTTTTGCACAAGATTTTTTCAAATATCTCCAAAAATATTTTTGCTACAGCCTATTATCATATATTGGCGGAATCTGTGAACTCCCAGTCATCGCAAAAAACACTTATAATCGCTCTATCTCTTCTAGTTTAGCCAGAAAACGCGTTTAAAGTTTTGCAAAAGATTTTTTTAAATATCTCCAAAAATATTTTCGCTACAGCCTATTATTATATATTAGCGGAATCTGTGAACTCCCAGTGATCACAAAAAACACTTAAAATCGCTCTATCTCTTCTAGTTTAGCCAGAAAACACGTTTAAAGTTTTGCAAAAGATTTTTTTTAAATATCTCCAAAAATATTTTTGCTACAGCTTATTATCATATATTGGCGGAATCTGTGAACTCCCAGTCATCGCAAAAAACACTAAAAATCGCTCTATTTCTTCTAGTTTAGCCAGAAAACGCGTTTAAAGTTTTGCAAAAGATTTTTTTAAATATCTCCAAAAATATTTTTGCTACAGCCTATTATCATATATTGGAATCTGTGAACTCCCAGTCATCGCAAAAAACACTTAAAATCGCTCTATCTCTTCTAGTTTAGCCAGAAAACGCGTTTAAAGTTTTGCACAAGATTTTTTCAAATATCTCCAAAAATATTTTCGCTACAGCCTATTATCATATTTTGGCGGAATCTGCGAACTCCCAGTGATCACAAAAAAACACTTAAAATCGCTCTATCTCTTCTAGTTTAGCAAGAAAACGCGTTTAAAGCTTTGCAAAAGATTTTTTTAAATATCTCCAAAAATATTTTTGCTACAGCCTATTATCATATATTAGCGGAATCTGTGAACTCCCAGTCATCGCAAAAAACAATTAAAATCGCTCTATCTCTTCTAGTTTAGCCAGAAAACGCGTTTAAAGTTTTGCAAAAGATTTTTTTAAATATCTCCAAAAATATTTTTGCTACAGCCTATTATCATATATTGGCGGAATCTGTGAACTCCCAGTCATCGCAAAAAATAATTAAAATCCCTCTATCTCTTCTAGTTTAGCCAGAAAACGCGTTTAAAGTTTTGCAAAAGATTTTTTTAAATATCTCCAAAAATATTTTCGCTACAGCCTATTATCATATATTGGCGGAATCTGTGAACTCCCAGTTATCGCAAAAAACACTTAAAATCGCTCTATCTCTTCTAGTTTAGCCAGAAAACGCGTTTAAAGTTTTGCAAAAGATTTTTTTTAAATATATCCAAAAATATTTTCGCTACAGCCTATTATCATATATTGGCGGAATCTGTTAAGTCCCAGTCATCGCAAAAAACACTTAAAATCGCTCTATCTCTTCTAGATTAGCCAGAAAACGCGTTTAAGGTTTTGCAAAGATAAATATCTCCAAAAATATTTTTGCTACAGCCTATTATCATATATTGGTGAACTCCCAGTGATCACAAAACACTTAAAATCGCATTTAATAAAAGTTTGTGTCTACTAGGTTTATGCCTTAGATAAGCTTTGGATTACTTCAAACTTTAACTATCTTGCTAATTGAAGGGAATCAAAATCACCTTTCCAAACATCAACTATAGTTTAAAACTTAATCTTAATTCAAATTACTTCAGGGAGATGAATCTGTCTTATTAAAAGCTCCTATCTTTTACACAAACTTACTGAACCGAGCGAATTTGACACCGAACGATGTTGTCTTACTAAAGTTTTGAAAGATGCTATAAAATTAAAAACTCAAACCGAAAAATGTAAATTAAAATTATTTTTAGGAACGGTTCTGTGGAAAAAATTGTAAAATATTTTAATTTAGTCAACTCTTTAACGCTGCTCATTAAAGCTTTATTTAATGATTTAAATTTAACCAACTAATAATTATTGCAATATCCTTTGCAAATGAAATTCAAACAACTTAGATAGTTCAGATATGTTCATTGCAACAATATATCGGAAGCTAGAAGAAAACTACTTTTGAGGCTGCAATTAAGATTACCTCACGGTATTAATCAATTAAATTTCCCCCAATACGACATGATTACCCGTAAAGGTTTTTCAAACGAAAAATGCTTATCATACTAGAATTTAATGAGAAAGGGATTCCTGTAATTAAATGACCCACTTTTCTACACTTTCGTTGAGTTCATATTCATAGTTCTTTTTCTTATTTAATTCCTTTGGCAGACCTTTTTTTTTTTTTTTTTTTTTTTCCTTTGTTCACTCCTAGAAGGAGCATAGGGCTAGTGCATGATTTCTCATGCACTAGTTTCATAGCGTCATAGGGTTTAACTAGGTAGGTGACTAGCCTGCCGTAGTTTTTATTTATATATTAATTATTTGAGGTTATTAATATTTACTATTTATTTTTCTTAGTTTTTTTTTTAATATCGAATATTAGGAATATTTGAAAATTACTTGTATAATATTTGTAGTATTGTATATTAAGTTATAATAATATTGAATATAATTTTTTATGGCAGACCTTTAATAGTCTATAAATGTAAATTAAAATTTCATTTAAACATTTTTTAGAGTTAAAATTAGATTGACAGTTTTTAATATCAAATTTTAATTATTCTTATGTATTTTTAACTACACAGACTTAAACATACAAGTTATATACAAAATTAAATTTTTTATGTACTGTTGGAGCATTACCACAATGTTTGAAATTTAATGACATCTTTTAAATGGCAGAAATCTCTAAATAAAATGTTCAGACCTTTCATCCTTTGAGCAACCTTTGTAATTGCATATTTAACCCATATGTAAATTTATTCATCCTTTTTCTGTATTTCATACCTCTTTATTGTCCTTCTTGATTAAAATTTTCAAAAAAAATCATTTCGGATGCATAAACTCACCTCACTAATTATCTCATTATCTATACATTTTCTTTGTCTCTTGAATATACCCTAGTATCATTAAAAATAATCAGCCCGTAATCATGGTATCAATGAAGAAGTAAGACAATTTTTTTGTTTTATATGTTAACCTTTGAATCCTTAAAATTATATTACACAAGCATAAACAAAACATTTTGCTTTTATTTTTACATCTAATATAAAATGAATTTTTTTATCATTTTATTTTTAATAGCACCACAAGGACGAACTCCAACTGGTGGTGATGTTTGGGTTTTACATATAAAAGACACAAAACCATCAGACACAGACGTATATGTCTGCGAAGTCAACAGTGATCCTGTTGCCAGAAGTTTTCATCCTTTAATGGGTAAATATTTAATGAATTCAAAAAAATTGTTTTGATATTCAGTTAAGAAAAAAATATGAAATCATATGTGAAACCTTAAAAATTTGTCCCATTATGAATTTTTAACAATTTCAGTGCATAGTAAAAATGATACTGTAGATGATTCAGAAGACTCAGAAACGTCTTATTATAATAAACCATTAACAACTTCAACTGTGATAGAACCTGCAACATTGTTGCAACAAAGTCAACAACAAAATGGACCTGTAAATAGTAATAATAATAACAATAATAATAATGGAGATAGCTCATTCCCGCCATCACCTGCTTCACATTTAACACCACCCCATCCAACAACAAATTCAACATATCTTACTACATCATCTTCAACAGCTTTATCACTGGGAGGGTCGACAATCTCATCATCGGCAACGCCGACAACTCCCCTATTTACACATGATTTTACGGAATGTTGCGAAACATCGAATATAACGGCAGAATGTATGGGTTTCTGTAATGTACATAATATTTTAGATGGCACTACCGGCATTGAACCGGAAGCATGTGAAAAAGATTTTCCTCATATTGTTAAATGTATGGCTGATGGTAGAAATCATGTTCCATGTTGTGATTCTAAAAATATACCAGATTTATGTCAAGATATGTGCCGAGGCGAATATACTCCATTTACAGATTTTTTAAAATCTAGAGTATCTTGCGTACGACATACATTACCTGGTCTACAATGTATTCTTGAGGGTGTACAAAAACTACCTAGTATGCCACAAGATGTTTATGTCGAACCATTAACTGAAAAATCATTAGAAGTAGGTTGGTCACCTCCAGAAAAACTAGCGAAAACTGTAACACATTATACTGTTAATGTAACAGCATTACATGTTTTCGATCAAAATAATTTACCAAATAAAACGCAAGATCCATTGGCTGTTAATGTTACTGTAGCAGGTGATCAAAAATCTGTCGTCATAAATAATTTAATGCCGTATACAATGTATTCAATTTTTGTAACTGCACACAATAAACATGGATCTAGTTTACCAAGTTTTAGAATAAGAGCATTAACTTTAGAAAGTGGTGGTATCGGTAGACAAACAAGTATGGCTGTGATACCTGTATTACCGGATGTTCGCGGTTGCTGTCAGCGTAATGGAATGTCACATAGAATGTGTTTAGATAAAATGTGTGATCCAAAGAAAACTGATTTTGCTGAAATTCCAGATTTTATGGTTTGCGCACCTTGGGCTAATATTACGTTCTCATGTTTAACAAATAACATCGATCATAGTCCATGTTGTAAGGCTCGTGGTATTCCAAATGTGTGTCTACCATTGTGTTATGGAAATGTCACAACAATTGATTTCAGTTTATTTAAGTAAGTAATTTTAAATGTCTTAAATGTAAACTTGTTTTAGCAGGTTAAATTTAAATTGTACGGCCCAAGTATAGTTTTGTAAAACAATTATGTTTAATAGCTACCCTTAGAAGGCGTTGTTAGTTAACGAAATAATGCGGGATTTTCCAAAGAAAGTTCAAATAAACTTTATTAGATTTTTGATATTTCTTTAATTTTTTATAACAATTCATTCACATTATCGATCATTGAAAATGGGGTTCTAAAAAAATTCACATTCAATTTTTATTGACCTTTGTCATGAGGGAAACCATAAATAAATAAATGATTGACAAGGTCATCATATATTCTTTTGATGTGTGTATGTTAACAGGCATGTGAATAAATCGATTATACACATAAAAAAGAATTATTACCACTCTTGCAAAAAATAAAATATTTCAATAAAATCTTTATAAGGGCAGATTTTTTACAAACAAGATTGGATTTCCTTAAAATAATAGGCACATACTAAGATGATCCCTTTACGTGTTTCATATATAAAATTTCTGCTGAAATGTTCTTAATAAAGTTATGGTACTTTTTTTGTAAATGACCTTAAAAGGCCTTTGCATTTTTCAAATATTTTTTGTAATTTTTTGTAATATTGAGCATTAAATTTATTGTACAATAAAAATTTTCTCTATAAAATGTAACCAAAGAATTTATTCTTAAATTGTAAAGAACATTGAGGACTCAAAATATGTAAATCTTGAAATCATAAACTTTAAAATATTTTCTTATTACTCAATTTTTAGGACCTGAAAATTTATTTTGTTTCCAGAGAAATAACATAAAAGTCCGATTTGCTATAACCGACCTATTTGAATATCCTTTCGAATATCCGAATCGATAATGTGTAAAAATTTCTTGGGCAAAATTTACTCCTAATTTTCGGAATCTTCATTTTTCTTTTAAATTATATTTTTAAATTTTATTTGCTTCCTTTTATTTTAAATTGAGAATTATTTTTCACCTGCTAAACTTTTAAATATTAACATATTTTTCCTTTATCATTATATTTTGAATATTTTAAATCTTTTTACTTTTTTTTGTATTCCTATAAATATGCAATAACTCATCATCATTTGGATTGGTACTTAACCTTAAAATGTGTAAAATCAACAATATTTTACTTCAAACCCAATACTTTTCAATTTTATTATGGAATCCTTATCGTATCCTTAATAATTTTTTTTATAAACGAATATGTCGAATACTTCTATATTAAAACAACAAAAACAACAATATGGAAATCTTTACCTTTAAAAATCGAAATGAAAACTTGCAAAACCACTTACGAAAAATAACAACAACAAAAAAACAAAATTACAACGATAATAACTGTTGAAAAATAAAATGGATTCTCTCCCTATTCCTTTGAATCCTATTACAAAATTTACTGTTATCTTATTTTTACCGGTTTATATTCGAATACTTCGAAATGAAAAACAACAACAAAAAAAAAAATAATAAAATAAAATGTAAAGGTGCCTTCGTTACATGTCAGATTATAGCAGCTGTCTTTTACAAGGATACGGTGTCTTGGCTGGGCCACCATCACGTCTTAAACCAATTGTTGTATCAGCACACTTTGCAATATTAGAATGGCAACAACCGAAAGTCTTACCCGACACTGTTACATCGTATCATATATATTTTCGCAAATTAGGTAGCGATGAGGATTATACAATGATCGAAAAGGTAAGTAGAAGAAGAGACGACATGGAAAAGTCGAACAACAATAAAAAATAAAATAAAAAATAAGAAAATATTAAAGGTAGGAAGTAAAAGAGCAATATACTCGTATAAAAAGAGAGAAGAAAAAAATCGGATATGTCAATAAACCTATTATCCTGTTCTATCCTATTATCATCTCAATCATGTCATTAAGTAAACCTGGGTACATTTGTATTTACAGTGCTTATATAAAAATTTGTTTGTCTTGGCAGAAACCTTAAAATACCTTAATCTTTCTAATAATTATCAGAAAATCACGTTTAAATTTAGGAGAAAAATTTTCGGTTCATTAGATGTGTGATTCATGTCACTATTTTAATAAGAAAAAAAGACGAAAGAGGGAAGTAACCGATCGAATACGAAATCGAAGAATAATCGAAAATAGTTTATGGCTCTATGCAAGCAGCAACCAAAGAAAAAGTTAAATAAAATTAAAATGGACTTTTGCCAGTAAGATTTTAATTCACAGTGGTCCCTGAAATGTTACCTTGTTATAGACTAAATCATCCTGTATCATTATCTCCTTACAAAATAAAATTTATTCATTGGTCTCTTAGCATTACTATACATGGAAAACAATATTATAAGGAATAAGCTTTTAAGGAAACTATCAACTCACACAATACAACAAACCTTAAAGTTATCAACGATTGAATCTAAAATAAAAACATTTTCATTTCTAAATTAAGGTTTGTCTTTTTTATTTTTAGTTTTTTCTATCTCTTGGCAAAATAAAAATACTTATACCACGCTCAAAATTTACTACTCATTATTTAAACGGATTAAATCAGATTTAATTTTAGATTTTCTTACATTTAATTTTGCAAATCTCTGTTATGTAACTGTTTCTTTGGCAAAAGATATCAATAATTAAAATATTTGGTTAGAGTGATTGGAGATTAACAATATAGAGGAGAAGAAATTCAGTGATTTATTTTAATTATTACAGTCTTTACCAACAAAACTGATATCTCAATGTGGAGCTCTTGTATGTATAAAGGAATAAGAATTCCTTCTCGTGAGTTTCGTAAATTCTGCATTCTTCAGCATATTTGGAGAATATAGGCACGAAAAATATATGAAAAATTTCTGCACGGCCGGTTTGGCGGGGGGAGCGAAGAAACCTCAATGCATCTTCTGGGGGATTCTCTGACCTGATCGCGATGCACTGTTACTCCATCTGTAAATGCAGTTTCAATCTACAATCTCGTAAAACATGCGGTTATTAAATAGAATCTTTCGTAATACCTTATATGAAAAATTCCGAAAATGGTGCGCGGCAACCGTCAAAGACTCTGATTTTTATTCTTAGCCCGTGATACCTGTAGTAAAAGATATTTCAAATTTCTTTTTTTATGTATCCGCTGGATTAATATCTAGACCGGCTCTTTGGAACTTTTTGTAATAGAATACGGCATGCATTTGGAATAATGTTATAAACAAAATTGTTACAAACATCAACCCACATCAGAATAATTTCAAATTTCCACGAAGATACAATTGAAAATGCCATGACTTTTATTCTTCTGCAAAACAAATAATTATATTATTCAAATTTTAAAAGTTGTACTTAAATTTTAATTTGAATTTTAATTCTAGGAACACCCACCGTTAATATTGGAAGGACTCGAAGCTGGAGTATTTTATGAAATATTTGTTGTGGCAATTAATGCCCATGGTAAAGGTGGTCCATCACCACGTTTAGTATTTCGTACAAAGTTCCAGGTACATACACAGTCCTATACTTTTTGTAAGCATCCTTATTTTAAAGTAGTAGGCACAAAAGTACAAAGCAAAATAATTGTATTATTTATAATTTAAATACACAGAGTTTAATGCATCCTAATTTTCGTATTATGTAAGAATAGTATTTTTGATAATCTTTTGATTTATATCCTTGAAAATATCCTTAAAATTAAATAATTCAAAATAATTCTTGAATTAAATAAATTTTTTATTCAAAATTATTTTCGTATTTTTCCCATTTTTTTTTTTTTTGTATTTACAATAGCTAAAAATAATTCGAAAGATTATATTAAATTCTATTCTTTACATCCTTGCATTCTTCTTATAAATAAATAAATTTTTTATAAATATCTAAATATTTTTCTCCTCATCCTTACTCTTTTTCATGTACACATAAATACAAACCTGCACATATAATAATAAAAATCATTAAAAATTCTGGATTTTGGATTTAAATTTCTTCTTTAACATTGGAATCTACTTAATATGTGTACAACGATTTTTTTGGGTACAAATGAATTACATACCCATATATATATAAAATACTGAAATTTATAAATTTAATATGTGTGTATGTTCATGTTAATTTCATTGTGGAATTTTTCAACATTGGAAAAAAAAAATTATGAACAATGAAAATGATTGTGAACAAACGATTTCATCCTTATTAAATTTTCTCTTATGATAATAAAGGAGAATATTGAGGTACAAACACCATCCTATAATATGACTCAGTGCTGTTTTGCTTCAGGACTTTTGCCACAATGTATGGCACTATGTACATATGATATAAGAATGTCTGATGTGCAAGCTTTGGGTTCCATATGTCAGGCACAAATGGGTAATTAATTAATTTTTCTTTACATAATTTTTTTTTTTCAACTTTATTTAATTTTTATATTTTGTATTTTGTTGGTTTTTATTTTTTAAGTGACTCCTCTTTTAAAGGAATTGTTGTAAATAATTTTACTATAAGGTCTCTATATTATTTTGTAATTTGTAATGAATTTTTAAAGCTAACAGTGTTAGAAGAAAAATGAATTTAAAAAGGAGAGTTTTAAAATTTTGGATTGAAGCAATTAAAAGAGGTGTTAGTCCTATTCAAAGGTTATACACCGCAATTCTTAATAACAAATACAAACTTTTTTCACTTTCGCTAGAAATTATGCTTTAAATTCCTTGAGATAAAAATTTTAGTTTATTAAAAAAAAAATTTGACGGGAATGTTTAGTGTAGGGTACTACTCTCCGTTACCGAAATTAATTACATTAAGTTGACGGCAGTATTGAAAGTTGTTACATGGTAGTAACGGCAGCAGTTACACAGCGATATTGAATCTACAACAAGGCAGCAGTTACGAATTTAATTACTAGCGCACCGCAGTTAAGATTTGATTATTTACGACTGTGCCGACAGTACTCTCATGACAGTAACTACTTATTTATAACTTTATATTCTCTTTCATCATACCCATAAATTTTTTGTTGTAGAAATTATGAAAAAAGTTGAGAATATTATGACTGCATCCGTACTTTGGGAACATTAATGAACGCAAAAATCATTAAATAAAAAACCGTAGTTATGAAAAAATGAGAATAATGAAAGCAAATTTTAAGTAATTATTTCAGGGTTTAATTGTGCCATTAGAGAAAATTTACCATAAATGAATTTCCAATAGAATGTCTTTGATTTTTTATCGGTTTTCGTTAAATTTTGAGTTAAGTGTTCTCACCGAATCAAATGAAATGTTTTAGGTTTTTCATTTCTTTATTTTTTTTATCATTTCGTCTTTCTATTTCTCGATTTTATTTTACATTAAATTTATTGCAATTTTAGCAGATTTTTTTTTTTAACCAACTTGTAGAAAAAGAAAAAAACGCCAAAACTTTCATAAAATTGGAATTGAGTTATTTGAATAGTTTCTCAAATACTTGGACATTAAAAAAATAATTAATTATTCGTTGCTAAACTTTTAAAACAACTTTCCTTATTTATTGAATTCAAAATTTGTATTTTTTTTAATTGTAAATTCGCATCGTAAGGGAGTGTGCTCTTCCCTCTTTTCTGGAATCTTGTAATTAATCATTTGTTGAAATGTCTGGAGGAGCAGGACTACAAAGTGGTCGTCTAGACTGATGACTTACCTTAAATGGTCTGACGCAGAACACCCTTAACCTCGTTTTTGGCTGGGCTGTTGACTGTGATCCGACTATCAATCCACAAAGTAAAGTATAGCAGGAGATGTACTTTATCAGGAATAAAACCACTGAAACTCAACGAAATCTGCTTATTCTTTAGCAGGAAGGTTGGGTTGCTGCATCTAATTCTTGATTTGAAGCTAAATCGAAATTCAACATTATCGAAAGAATATGAAGTAAAAAGCCCATCGATTTTGATGTATTTTGTTTATGTGTGATAGCCAGCGCCGCGTGTCTTGATATGTGGATTAAGAAGCAAAATTAAAAAAATTGGAATGGTGTGTATTGGTAGGGTATTATGCTCCTCTCCAGCAGATGACTGGGGGGATCCGTAATGTGGTTGGGAGCCGCATCTCGGTGTTTTCGTTCGTGCTATCTCATTCAATAAGAGCTTTGGGAACTTGATTCCGTCGAGGCAAATCTGACTAAACAAAGAAAGTATCCGTTCGTTTTTAAAAAGAAGCGTTAAAACTTAATAACAGGGTAGATGGGCTGCTCTATTCCGAGCTATTGGAGCTTTACGTCCGTGCCCTTCGAGAAGAGGTGGATATTTTTCTATAAAAAAATGTGTATAAATCTTATTAATAATATTAGTACAAAAACCTTACACAGACTTTGAAGACAGACACCTGCAATGTTTATGGTATTATTTATTTAAAATATATTTTTTTTTTAATTCTTCAGGTGTCATAGCTAGATGTGCTGCTGGTGGACGTGATCATACACAATGTTGTAATAGAAGAGGTGTTATTCCCGGCTGCATATCATTATGTCGTGGCGTCTTACCACCACTACCAACAGCATCAGATTGCTTATCGTATGCTGGAAATATTTTGCAATGTTTCGAAGAAGGTAATAATCAAAAAATTTCCCAATATTAAAAATTAACCACAAAATTTCAATTCAAAATTAAACAATACCAAGATTACTTTAAAATCTTGAAATAATAAAAATAAATTTATTTAAAAAAAATATTTTAAATTTTTATTTAGGATGTCACAGATAAAAAATTATAATATTTTTTGAAAGGACAATAAAAGAAATTAAAAATATTTTTTAAGAGAACAAAACAAAAAATTGTAATTATAAAATGAGGGTTACTCAAAAATTTATCTATCAGTTGGCATTATCCAGACTTTCTTTCTTTCTCTATTCACAAAATTTTATTCCTCTTCATAATATTCTATTGTATAATTCATGTAATATGAAGGTAGTATACATATGCACTTATAATATTCCCAAAGCAATAGTCTAATAATTCTATTTTTGAAGGAAAAATATACAAAATGATACTTTAAAATATGATAAGAGAAAAAACCAGAAGTTGACAGAAATTTCATGATAATTTTCGTATATACAGAAATTGAACTAGACTGGGATGTAACGTTGTTGACAGGAACATATTAGAACATTGTAACCAACCATAAATATAAAATATTGCTCTATCAAGTTTAAGACACATCACCCTTATGTCCTGTTATAAGTTTTCATACATGAATGTATGTATGTATATTTGGATTCTGGTGTATTAATTCTAGTGATATTGTGAATAAATTTTCATCATGGTCATAAATTTTGTACATACATTCATAAATATTTTGAAATGCAGTATATTTGAATATTACTTGATATAGGATAATATTTATGAGTACATGAGAAACTATTAAAATAACAAATATATTTTAATTGTAATTGCAATATTAAAATATAAAAAATTCATTTTTTGTTTTTTGTTTCAGGTACTGGTAATATTCCCGGTCCAGTTGAAGATCTTCATGTTACGTCTGTAACAAATAATAGTATTTCGTTAGCATGGATACCATTTGAAGGTGATGTCAATAATACAGAAAACAAATATAAAGATTTCTTAGTTCAATATGGCAAAGTGAACAATATGACAATGTATGAGACGGTTGTCAAGCTGGAAAATGTAAGTTGAATTGTGTAAATATATTTTAAAATTCAAAATTTGTCTACATTAGGTACAAATTATTTTTGGTAAATCGTGATTGGTTGGCTTTTGAGAAAGGCTGTTTTTAAAAATGTAGTTCTTATGGCTTGAACTGCAACGTTTTAAAAGCTTTACATTTAATTTGTACATGAAGCTTTGAAAACTTTGCATTTCTAACCTTAAGAACTGTATTTTCAAAAACACCCGAATATGTTTGAATTCTTAATTCTAAATTATTAATTTTGAGTACACACTTACCTCCTTTGTTGTAATGCTTGTATCTACACTTTACATGTTTTTCTTACGTTCCGCTTTTCAATACTAATTTTAAAGCTAAAAAACAACCAAAATTTTTAATTTTTGTAAAAAGCAAAATATTTTGTTTCAATATTTTAAGTATTTTCCCATTATTAAAAGAAACGATTCTTAAGAGATCTCTAATATTGAAGAAAAACAACATTACCTTTTATAAATACCTTTGAAATTTTGAACATAATAATAATAATGTACATAATATAATTTCGGAAACGTAGCATTGTAGATTACTATGGCAAAAACAGTAATACATAATTCATGAAAAAATTTCTTCTGTAGATATGAGTTGAGATTTAAAAAATTCCCTAACCTTCTACAAAGCCATTAAGCAACTTACATATACGTACATATATGTGTGCATATGGTACAAAATTGTCTGTATAATATTCGAGTAAACTAAAATATTAAAATGGTAGTTAGGGAGACAAGAGTAGATTATGTTATTCATCAATATTCCACAATCCTTTTTTTCTTTGATACAAAAGTTCTGTGATTTTACATTTCCATTTTCTTTCAAAAGAGCATATATGGTATGCATGTACTAATGTAAATTTAGAGAAACAAAGAGGATATGGAAATGAGGAAAAATATAAATAAAAATTAAGTGTAGTTAAACTTGAATTTGCTATTTAAACAAGTTATTTGTAAGATTCATTTTGATATTTTTTTTAAATAGAAAGAAACTGATTTCTTTTGCATTTTGGTAAAAGTTCCGATCAAAAATTTACATGTCATTTTTTTTTGTTATACTGGCTAGCATCAGCAAAATGCGATTTAATTTGTGTTTCGTTTATTTTATATAAATTTTGAATGTACTGCAAAATTACCGCCATTATTATTGTAAATTATTGTAGATTATAGATTGCATATTGGGGCAATGATGCACCACGAGCTAAAAGCCCTATTGCGCCCCTCACGAGCGCTCACAGTGGCTTACCTAGAGCACCCTCAAAAGATCGACATTTTTTATGTATCTGAGAAACTTTTCCGTCTATGTTGTTCCTTCTCTTATAACGTTCCACATTCATTGAGTAGGTGCAACGGGCTCTCCTCTACTTCCGAATAGCACTTAAAAGACCCATCTCAGAATATGGTTCAGATATTTAAACCAAACTAGTTAATTTGCTTATGATGCAACAAAATGTTATGTTCCTTAAAAACTTGCTCAAACTCGATGGAGTTTCCAGTTATCATATTCTCGACCTATAATTTCTAAAATTTGACAAATAACTACTCACTCAATGTATTTCCAGTAACAATTTTCAAATAAATTGGCTTTCATTGAAACCAATTATAATTCAAAATATTTCCTGGTTCATTAATAAATGCTTTTGCATTAAAAAATTTTATTGCTCGCACGAATTTCATAATCCCCATCGTTCTTGCACATGAAATTATTTTAATTTAATCTATAAATTTAGAATACTAGGAAAATTTAAATGTATTATGTGCAATGTACAAGGCAATTTCTCATAGGGCATTTAATTTAATAAATTTTCCGCTAAAAAATATAAAAAACCTTTAAGGCATTTTTCGGTACGTAATTTTCCACGAAACAATTTAAATTTTCTAAATGCCAATAATTTTTTCTCTTTGGAGAATTTTCTTAAATTTTCTCTTGTTATCCTCTTGTACATTCTATTGATAGCATATATATATTTAAAATTGATTTTAATAAACATTTCAACACTAATAAATTGTGAACACATTTAAGGTATCTGTGAAAAATACACTATAAATCCCCATATTTGTCTTTTTAGGAAAAAAACACAACAGAAACAGAAATCGAATTGAATAATTTGGAACCGTTATCACTATACAGAATATTGGTTGTTGCCAGAGGTGAACATGGTTCTTCGTTACCATCATCAATGCTTATAATTAATACAACGAGTACAGGCAAGTGACAAAATTAAATTTCAATTTCTTTATTATCTACAACATTTGCGTATTTGTACTTAAAGCATTGTGTAGCAAAAATTTCTCTTAAATAATTCAGAAATATGCAATAATTTTAATGTTCTCTTATTTTTTATTTTTATTTTTAGATTCTTCTGATTCATCGAATACTGTTTATGGTGCACCATCGCCGCCACATTCATTAGCGATAACAGCTCATAGTGCTACATGGGTAACAATATCATGGCAACCTCCAGAATTTTCACATCCACATGAAACATTATCATACAGGTAATGAAGAAAATTTGGTTCATGTAACCACCTTAGTCTTGAAAATTCTTTAATTTCTCAGTTCTGAAAAGCATTTTTTAAACTTAGAGAAACAATAAATCAGAATCCAAATCAAATATTTACTTAGTGTTTGGTCCATTTGTCCGTCATTTCAGAAAATATTCTTAATTTTTATCTTAATTTATATGGTTTATCCTAACAGGTTTTAATCATTTGACCTAACAATCATTATAGTATACAAATATGTATACATCGAGAATAATACATAAATTTGAGGACTTATGATGAATTATCATAATAAATACAAACAAATTTCTATTATTTCATTGAAAAATTGCAATTTAAAAGGAAAATGATAATTTTTTTCCTATTCCAAATATACAATAAACTATAAACATTGAAACAATATCAAACGTAAATTATTCATCCAAACCACCAGGATCATAAACCAGTATCATCCAAGTCAAGTATGAATTAAAACATTACAGCGGAAAAGGATTTTCTTATAAAATTTACCATAAATTTACGATATGTGAGATCTCACATCAAAATTTATGAAATACTCAAATATGTATTTAACAAACAAACAAACATTTTTACATCGAATAATTGTACCATCGCATCTCTTTGCTATTCGCATCGTCTCAAAATCATCGCATCAACCATTCACACAATGCGTTTTATTTTCTAATAGACGTCCTCACATAAATCTTATTAATCTTTTAGTTTATTTATTCAATCCTATAAATAAATCTAGCACATTATTATTATATACTATAATTATCTATATATATATAAATAAATGAACATATATATAAATAAATTACTTATGTTCCTGAATATTTTTTGTATATACTTAGAATTATGAAGAAAAGTTTGAAAAACTAATTTTCATATTAAAGTAATTTTTCATTAATCACAAATATACAAACAAATATACACTGTAGAATATAAATTAGAATTTGCATTCACATATTTACATTTGCAAAAATATAAAATGTTCTGCTGTACACAAAGATTTAAAAATCCCCCTTATAAAAATGGGGATAAAACATTACAAATATCTTTTTCCATTAAAAATACAGATACATGGGGGCTATCAAAAGCTGAAACTAAATTGCCTATCTTATACTTTTTAGTATAAAATAAATTATTTAGGCTTAGACTTTCATTCAAAAATTGTACACACTCATACCTACACCATAATTCTAAATTCTAGTTTTATTGTCGGCCTTTGTTAATTTTTTTTTTTTTTTGTAAATATTTCATTCATATACTAAGGAATTATGTATAGGGCATAGAACCAGGACGATACACTAAAATATTTCAAACACAATGAAATGAAAGGAGCAAAAAACAAAAAAAGGATATGAAAAACATCCAAAGGATACAAAATAATGAAATATTTTACATTTTGCATGTTTGATTCAAAATAATATAGAACACTGCTGCAAAACTCCTTGATACTCACTGAAAATAAAAAAATAAAAGAAAAAAATGAAAACAATAAATAAATAAATCAAAAATAAATGAAAGAAAAAGGGAGGAAGCGAAACAAATTGCTCTCTTTTGCTTTAATTTTCATTTTATAATGATAAAAATCCTTGTTATCCTTTACTCCTTTTTTATTCTTCTATCAAAAGCATAACATATTTTATATAATTACACTAATACTATCCTTAAAATATAAAAAAAACAAAAAATAACAGAAAAAAAAAGTTTATTCATTTCAAAATCGCGTCGTCCTATACCATGCCAATGTCCTAAAAGTATGACTAATGAAAACTGCTTAAAAAAAGAAGAGCAAATAAAAAACTTTTTCATTCTATTTAAAAATGGTGATATTCCGTTATTATTTTGTGTTTCTGTCCCACTATGAATTCAAAAATAAACACATAATAGGAAGTCTTCCTCTGTGTCTCGCTATAATGTAAAAGGATAAAATACGTGTTTGTGTGTTTGTGTTAAAAGGAGAAAAAATCGTTTACTATGACATAAAATTGCTTTATTGAATAGTTGATTAAAAAAATTTCTTATTTTTTCTTTAATTTTCATCTTCCTTTTTTTTCATACATTTTTGTTAAAGGATTTACCATAAGCCTACGTCAGCTGATAAATTTACATTAATAGAAACGAGATTATTATGGGTACGCTTAAATAATTTAAAACCAAATTCCCAGCATGTTATCTATGTTGAAGCAATTGGAAATAAAGGTGTAAGTTTACCATCAGAAACACTTGTTGCATGGACAGATCCAGCATTACCAGCATTTGTTGATGTAAGTTAAAAATATTTTCTATTTTATTTTTAAATTTTTGTTGTTTTTCTTTTCCTAATGACATCGTGATATAGTTATAGGTCTACAAAATACTATAGATTTTTTTTTTGTGGAATAATTGAATTTCATATGAAAAAGCATTAATCAATATTAAAGACTCTAAAGTTAATTACTGAGCGTTTGTAGGAAAACGTTTTTTAAGGGTAATGTGAGATTTGTAACGAAATAATATTGCATTTTTGATATTCGGCCTTTGATGATTTCAAACGTGTTAACTATTTGAAAGTACAGGTTTACAAATGATTGCAATATGAAAAGGAACCTCATAGAAGTTGTGAGAATAAGGTTTTTATTATTGCCTATTCGGTTTTTACAAAAAGACAAATTTTACTTGTATAGTTCAAATAATCATTTTTTTAAATATAAACTACATTCAGGGTTATAATGAAGGCTCCTTCGGCTACGTTTTTCCTATTTGAACAATATCAAATCTTCGAAGAAATCAATTATATGTAGAGTTGGTTATCGTATAGATTCTCAATTCATCTAGAATATATTGACTGATTAAAATATTTTCGTGGAATAAACGAAACATGAGAATCAAAATTACTGAATTTTTTACTGAAGTTGTCCTAGTTTAAAAAATTTGAAATGAAATTTCCAAAACCCACACCATTTTCTATATTGTCTATGTTGTCTTGTATAAAAACGATTAACGTACATCTTGTCTGTTTCAAGAACAAATTTATCAAAACGCTTGAAGTATTTAAAATGAAAATTACAACAAAAAAATAAAATATTTTATGTAATTAATTTTAATTTCAATGCTATGAGCGTGTGGACAAAGATTCGTTTCAGAAAATTTCTTTTCCACACTTCATAAATTTCTGCACTTCTACACAAAGTGAAAATATTTTTCATCGCAATTCAGATTTCAGATTAATGACCGTTCATCAAGAGTTTTATTTTTTACAAGAAATTTATTTTTATTGTAGATTTATAATATTAAATATTTATTTAGAATTATACGAGTGTACATGTGTACGCATCTCCGTAATTACATTATTTTTATTCTGCTGTCATCTTTTATAGCCACCGACAATCCATCCAGACGACATAATAGCTGAGGGTGGTTCTATGACAATATTATGTTTAGCACTTGGTAATCCAGCGCCAACAATATCATTATATGTGGGTGGCCATCTTGTTAGACAAGATACATCAAGACATATGGTAACAGTTATTCATAATGTAACATCAGATATGGAACATGTATCCTGTTATGCTGATAATGGTTATGGCATACCAATGCAAGCTTCAAGAAAAGTCAATATTAGTTGTAAGTAAATTTATAGCATTTTTTTTAAATTTCTCAATATTTCAAACTAAGAAGAAGTAACCTGTTTTTAAAAATTCAAAAATTTCAATTCTATTCGAACGTCAATAAGCGTTTTTACTTACCCAACTTCCATTCAATTCATTTTCACTTTAAAGATCCACCTAGAGTTCAAGCGTCTGGAATTACTGTCGCTTATATTGGGGAGGATGTTGATCTTAAATGCACAGTTAAAGCAAAACCAATACCAAAAATGATATTCTGGCGTGATCATGATGGTCGTATACCAGTTATCCAGGGTGGCAATTATGATATGTCAATAATAAAAGATGAATCTGATCCAGCATCCTATACAATGTCTTTGCATATTTCCAAAGTACAACAAACTGATGTTGGAGATTACTTTTGTCATGCAGAAAATGCACTCGGATCCAATACAATTCCAGTTTCAGTACGTATCCGTAACACTGCAGCGGCACATAATATTTCTGAATGTTGTATTACGCAAAATGTTTCAAGTGCATGCATGTCGGCATGTAGTTTTTATATTGATATTGATGCTGTTATCGATAGACCTGAATGTATTGTTGATTTTGATAAATTAATGAAATGTGCTGCTGATGGTTCAGATCATAGAATGTGCTGTGCAAATGCTGAAGTTCCTCGTAAATGTTTGAATTGGTGTCGGGGTGAAACGATTGGTAATCTAGGAATATGTTCATTACAACATACTCGGTCAATAATTGGATGTTTCCAATCAAATAGAGATAGATTACCTGGACCACCACTTAATTTAGCTGCAACTGTTATTTCTGATAGTGAAGTATTAATTAGGTAAGTCTTATTATTTGAACTAACTTTCTAAAAGTTTCAAAATTCTGAAACCCCATATCTCAATTGTATGTAGATGGGATCCTCCAATAAAAAATCCACATGTGGTTGACGGATACAGAGTATTTTACCATGAAGCAGACGAGATTACTGTTGAACCTACGAATAACAACCAATATGGTGGTATTACAACGACAACTCATTTAGCAACGAATCGTGTAGATGTTAAAGGAACTAGTGTTAATATTGATGGTCTAAAACGTGATGTCGTTTATGAACTTGTTGTAAAAGCTGGCAATCAATTCGGTAAATTTCATCCTTTTTTTCCTTAATCCTTTCATTCGGATACCATTATCAATTTGTTGTATTATTCTCAAATATTTTTTTAATTGATCTTTTTAGGAGCTAGTGTTTTAACAGAACCTATTCGATTCACATTAGGAGATCATCATATGACATCGGCATCACATTCTAATACCGCTGGTACAATAAGTGGTATTTTAGCTGGAATTTTAGCAATTTTATTAGCAATTGCTGCAATATTATTCTATAAAAGAAGAAAGGCTAGTGAAAAAAATGCAAATGGTGTTGCATTTGAAAATCCAAGTTATTTAAGGGGCGTTGAGCATGTACAAGTAAGTCTCGAATGTTGTGAGCAGTTATGAATTTTCAGCATGTTTGTTGTTTGATTTGAAAAAAAAAATATAAATTTAATTTTGAAAAATCTACGTAAACTTATTTTAGCCGCTTCTCAAATATTTTTTAATGCAAATGCGTTTTATTATACAATCATAATTATATATTAAATTACCGATTCGCACTTGTTGCTTAACAATAAAAGTAGCATAATAGACCACATCCGCAAATAATTCGATCCACATGCGTTCCAAATTAAAATTTTTCTGGAAAATCTCCAGAACTCTTCATATATATCTTGGCTTTCCATTACTATATCAATAAAGCATTCACTAAATATTCACACCATTTGATGTGGCATCACATTTGTTTGGAAACTATTCCATATGTCAAACATTTTATATTTTTTTCTTACGTTTTTGATTGCTTCAAAAATTTTTGTTCGCTTAACATTAAAAATAAATATTTCAGAATATTATAGAATTTTATTCAAACTATAAAACAGTTGCCAATCTTAAAGTATTCATTGCAATTTCAATTCCGTGGTGTGTACTTTATTTATTTTAAAATATTAAAAAAAAACTTGGTTTCGAACGCTTCATTCTAATATGCAAAAATAAAATCTAGACTATGATAGACTAATTTTCAACTTCTTTTTCAGAATAATCAAGATGAGACTTACCTCTAGTAGAAAATTTTCATTCAAAACTTTTTATAGTACAAAATTGCGGTTATACTAATTAAAATATATTAAGATTATTGAATTTATTCAAAGAAACTAAATATTTCGAATTGTATATGATTTGAATATTCTACATCTATGTTTCCATTGTCCTATATATGATTAAAATTCGAAATGCTCAAATATTGATAGTACGTGAGTTCACATAAAACAACAAACATAGCTAACCACTTTTTAAACAACACTCACAAGATGTAAAGTATATAAAAATTTGGTACAAGAAAAATATTAAAAAGAAAATTTATTATAATTTTTCATTTTTTTCACTGAAAATTCAAAATACATTCAACAAAATTTACACAATATCAAATCATCAATCAATAAAATTTAGATTCCAACTGTGACAGCAGACACATCAACACCATGGCGACAAGAGACACTTCAAACACCATCATCAACAAATTTTAATAGTGTAACAAATCCAAGATTGTCTGGAGTAAATAATAAAAATTTAACATCAGCAACATCAGCCGCAACTGGTACAGGAAGATCATCAACAACAACAACAATACCAATGACAACAAATCCCTCTGGTATAATAGTACATAATAATCATAATAATAGTAATAATACAATAATTGATACATCAGCAGTTCCAATGGCAACTGAAGTCAATCCATCACTTTATGAAGAACTTAAATTAGGACATGAAGGTGCTGGTTTTAAACGGCTTGTATCATAGGAATTACTTTATGCTAAGCTAGAAACAACTTGTAGATTGTAATACACAAAATAAAAAAGTAAAAAATAAAACAAAACATAAAAACAAATAGACACAATAATAATAAGGAAGCTGTATATACATAAACCTATATACACACACATATATTATTTTATGTACCTATTGTATTTGTATAGAAAAACAATATATGAGCATCAACATTAAACGTTGATGAAAATTTTTTGTATGTATTAAGCATGTAAAATGTGTACAGGTTAAAGCCAGAGGCAAGAAATATTAAGGAGATTTTTAGTTTTTTAGTTGTTTTTCTTTTATATTTTCATTTTTTTCTCGTAAATTTTAACCGTATACACATACATACAGTTTAGTTGTTTGAATTTGCTCTCATTTATGAAACCTGTGCATCCGCATACATAGAATATTTAAGTATGTTAAAGTAGATACAAACAGGGTCAGTAGTAATATTTTTTTTTTGTTTTTTTTTGTTTATCTTTATTTTAATATTTTGATTAAATTTTTTGAAATATAATGAAAAATTATTAATTTAGAATGCTTTTAGGTTTATTTTTTAATTTGAACTTCAGTACGTTGTTCCATGCGTATATGTGGGATATTATGGCAATCTAACTATTTGATTTGTAAGAACGAATTTCTGATTATTGAGACAAAACTTAAAAAACTTTAAAAATTGTTATTTTGTGAAATTATTCCTATAAATGCTTCTTTATAGAAAGTACTAAAATTTGCTTTTTTCGCTCTTATGCAATTTAACGAAAAACAAATTATCCTAAATGTATGCAAAATTTTCTATTTAAAGTTTTTGTTCGTAAAATAATTGAAACTTTTGTTCTAGATCGTTTTCGTTCTCTTACACTACAAAAATTAATCTTAGAATTGTGAAAAAAAAATTTAAATAAAAAATTAATAGAATTTTCTCACCAAACCATTGAAAATCACAAAAAATCACAATTTTTTGTTGTACTTAAATAAATTAGAAAAGGTTTTTATTAATAAACCGGAAAGTAACAAGAAATTGATTTTATGAAAAATATCCAAAATATACGCATACTAACTCAAATTCTATATAAATTTTTTTTTACTTTACTTATGTTTTGTATGCAAAACTAAATTACATCTTCCATTAAAGTTAAAATTCTCGAATATAAAAATTAATATGAAATTATAAAATTGTTTTTGTGTAGAAAAAGGTGCTCTTAATAGAAAATCATTAAACATCTTTTGTAATATATATATAATATAAATTAAATAAAATAAAATATTGTAAAATATTATTTAATAAAATCCAATAAGAATAAAAAGTAGTAAAACCCCTATATATAGTAACAATAATGTAAAAATAATAGCAATCTAGTGAATTGTAAACTATAAGTAAAAAAAAATTTAATCAAAGTAAAAATAATTATAGCTACACATATTATATAAAAATATTTTAAAAAACCAAATTAAAAAATAAGTATAAAGGAGTTGAAATACAATTAAATACTAAAATTCAAGTCGTGATAAATAAAATATAGAAAAAAACACACAAAATAAAAATTGCAGTAAAAACATTTATATTAGTACATTTCTATATTGTAGAACAGTTATTTTTAGTAAATACACAATATATATATTAGAATAATAATAATAATATTTTATTAATACATTGATTATGTAAAATATATACTTTAATTATATACAACATAACAAACATATTCAATAAAATATATAAACATAAAATAACTTAAAACAATAAGTAGTTTTTAGAATTACAAAAAAAAATTTATTTTATTTTTATAGTTTAGTTTTTCTTGTTTTGTTAAAATAATAATAAATGTAAAATATAATAAAAACGCTACAACATTTTGTAGATATTTTAATTAATTTTTTTTTAGTTTTAAATAAAAGTTAAATTGATTAATTAAATAAAATATTAAAAAAAAAGGAAAAAAACCAAAAACTAGTTTAATACTAGTGAGTAAGAAAAAAAATTTATATTAATATTAAATTAATAAAGAATATATGAAAAATAATAAAGTGTTTGAAAAAAAAAGAATTTAGGGAGATTTTCTTAGCGCAGTCAAAAAATATTTTACTTGAATTATTTATTTTGATTGTAGATTACACTAGCCCTAAATTCATGTGAAAATGTAAAGTGCATAATTTTTATAAGAAGGCCGACTATAATTGGAATATTTATTCATTTGTATTAATTTTTGACATAAAATTTAAATTAACAAAACAAATTAACCTTAATGTATCACAGTTAGTATTACAGTTTTTAAATACATTTTCGAAATTCATGTTTAACCAATGGGTGCTGAAACTAAATCAGATTTAAAAACGGTATTATGGCAATATTTTATCCAAGTTAATATTTTACATTTCTCTAACTAATTGTATTACTCAGTTCCATATTATAGCACTAAATGTTGTTTAAATGGCCACTTTAATTATTTCAATTCCATTTCTGATCACTAATTGTTATAAATGGTAATTTGTTTCACAATATGAAAGTTTAAACTACAATACCATACAAACCAAGTATTTTCAACAATTTTTCTAATCCTTATTGCTTAAAAACTGCTATTCAAATTTTTAAATAAATTATGTCTAAAAATATTATTTTTAATTTGTTAATTTTCTGACTGTCTAACCTTCAAATATTGTTCTCCAACATTCCATATAAATAGGAAAAATTATTGTTTACAAATTCTTTTATTATATTACATTAATTCCAGTCACTGGATTAAGTTGTGTTAAATAGTTTAATTAAAATATGCTAGTTTTCAGGTTTTAGGAAAATTTTTTCTATTACTTTATCCAAGTTATTAGTTAAAATAGTTAGTTTAATTAGTTAAATTTTTTAAATAACTTTGAAGTTAAATTAAAATGTTGTCGTTTTCAATATTATTTTTATTAATTAATCATTTATTTTTTTTTTTAAATTTTCAGAACATTATTACATAGAATTTACAGTCATGCACTCTCCTCCTATTCCCCCCTTGAATCCTGTTACATACGTTAATTTACCATTTCACACTGAAAGAAATGGTTTCTAAAATGGATGCAAACTATTTAAAACGCGTGATTTTAATATTTGTGCCAATTTGTAATTAATTTTCAACAAGTTTTGGAAGCATAAAATAACTAGCAATTTTTGGTTTTATTTTTTCCATTATTATTTAATTTATGAAATTTGTAAATAGAACAAAATTAAAAATTTTAATAATAAATAAAATTTAAAAAAAAAAAAAAAAAAATATAATTAAGTAAAAAAAGAATAAATGGTTTTTAGTCAAAAATAAAAGAAAAATTACAATAATAGCCACGAAATAAAACAAAGAAAATATTTTTTAAGAGAAAAATGTAGCCAAAAAAAAAAAAATTAAAAAAAAAAATTACATAAAATAGGATTAAGAACGAAAAAACAAAAGAATTTTTTAAATAAAATCGAAAAATTCAAAAAAAAGAAACTAAAACGGGTTTTTTTTTCCAACAAACCTGCAGTCACGTTACAATTATTTGTTAATATAAGTCCTGCCATTACTTTCCTTGGCAAACGAACAATGACCTCGTTTTTCGTACCTTATAACCACTCATTTCATTAAAGTAACACATAGCCATTTAACACTGCGCACAACTTGTTAAAAGGGGCAGAGTACATCCGATATATTTCCTTTTTGATAACCCTACTGACTTGAATAGTCATCAATAAAATATAATTAAGCACTTCGCCTGCTTTATTGCATGAAGCAGACAATACTAAACTCTGGAACTACCTCTTTTAATTTCTATTAGAAATAGAAATGTCTTTTTGAACAATTTTTTTTAGATTCTCACTTAGTAACTCAGAAAAAATTAAAAGAGTTATAACTGAATTAAGTTGACATTGACAATTTCTAATCATTAGTTTAATAACATTTTGACAACTCAATGAACTCATTTTATTAATTTTTCACCTCAAAATGGAGAATGACACTATTTTACACTATTTATAGTAGTATGAAAACTGTCTTACTTTTTTAATTTACATGTCAATAATATTAAAGTTCTAAATAAGAGCATGTATGTATGTAGTATGAAGAATATTACACAATAGAACTACATTCTTAAAGTACCGCTATTTTTAATTAAAAAATTTATTACTGACTAGCGCCCCTCAAAAAACCGGAGTTCCTTGTGAAATTAAAAAAATTGCCTTCTGCATAAGACCTAACAAACAACATAATATTTTCACCTTATTTCAATATTTTCAACACTGTCGTTCATTGTCATTTAAATTATCGACACATTTTTCAAATATTTTGAATATTGTGTTTTAATTTAATTCAAGAAAAAAAGCAAAACTCCATTTGATCCTTTATGATTTCTTTTGATGTTGAAAAGTTCAATTTGTCTAATGGATTTAAGGTAACAAAAAAAAAACGAAGGCATAACCAAATTTCAACAGATTAACTGAGAAATAAAAGTGTAAAGTTTTTATAAATAAAATTAAACAGGAGAAGGCAAAAAAAAAAAAAGAGTAGAAGGACTCATACAAATGGCTTAGTTAAATTTCATTTCAAATTATCACATACAAACGAATAACAGATCTATTAATGCCTCTGGGATTTATAAAAAAAATATAAATATATGTATGTGTTCATAAAAAAAAGGATGATTCACTTAATACAGTTGTAAATTTAATAGGGGTTTCTCCTCTTTTGTGTGTTTTTGTTTTTGTTTCAGTTTTCTGAATTAAATTGAAATTGCGGTGCTGTTTAGGGTTAAATTTGAGGATAAAGGTGGGTTATTATAGAGCAATTTTTTTTTTCAAAATTACTTTTCTCTTTTTAAAAAATTTTATTCATTCTTCTTCAGTTTCAATTTGTTAAAATGGAAATGTTAACACACCGATAATAGAAAATTTTTTTAAGCCCTTTTTTTTTCATAATATGTTGGGGGTTTTGTTTTTAATATGTTCCTGTATATTATGTGTATGTAATAAATTTTATTTAATAGTTATGTTAGGAATTTTATATAATAAAATTATTTAAATAATTTTTGGTTAATCTTTTTTTTATTCGTTTCGTATCGCTTCGTTTACATTTTAAATTAATATGAAAATATTTTGAATTTATTTAACTAACACGACATATAGAGAATATTTTAGAGAAAAAAAAATCATTTTTGGTTTTACCATCATATTATGGTAAAATGGAAAATATCGTATGTAGTTTTTTTTATTGTAGTCATTCCAAAATTAAAAATGTGAATTTAAGAGCTAAAACATTAGAGGAAACTAAATAAAATTTTAACAAAAATATTTTGCATATTAAAATAAATGGCATAAAATTAATCTGAAAATGAAATTCTCTTGCAATTGGTTTGTTATACAACAATGAGGAAAATCCTTTTCTAAATTATTTTTATAATAAAACTGAAATTCTGTAATTTCACATAGTCGTACATTAAATGTTATAGTAAAATGAATGATATTATATTTCTCTTTATGGGAATGTGGAATCTAGGGAATTTGAAAATTAAATTAAGTTTGATTAAAATGAAAAAAAATTAATGATATTTCACGAAATATGTAGATTAAACCTACTTGTAAATTATTTTCGGCATCATACTAATGACTTGGTTTCATGAGTCGTATATTATTTGAGAAATGCAGCCCTTTCAATGGAAATCTGGAATTTTATCATATACGTCTGGAAGGCAACTTATGCTGACAACGTTCAAATATAAAAAGATGTCAGCCTGAAACGCAATTCATGCAAAGAAATCCTTGAATATGAAGAGAAGTCTGTCTGGAATGAAATTCGTACGAACAACATTCAAATATGAAAAGATGTCGGTTCGAAGCACAAATTATGCCAAGTTCTTGATTATGAAGAAATGTATGCTTGGAATGAAGTTTTTACAAACGAGAGTAAAAATATGAAAAGTGTCTTTGCCTGAAACGTAGTCGTATTGCATTCTCACAGTCGTATTGCCTTATATTCATCTTAACTGTTTTCTTTAATATTTTTTTAAATTAAAAACTCCCAGAAAATTCTAATTTTTTCTTTAAATTTTAACGGTGAATTTATATAACCAAAATATTTTCTATACTTACACATACACGTTATACCTACATATACATATTTGAAAGATTTTCAGAATTTTTAGCAATTTAAAAATTTTCCCAAGCTAAAGATTTCGTTTCAACTTAAAAAAATTATCATTTAATGAATATAAAATTTTCCAAATAAACAAAAATCATTCCAACAGGAGCTGTTTTAACAACGACCTTAATATTATGCATGTTCCTATACCAATGGAGAAATTCAATTTTCATAACTTAATTTCTTTTCAATCATTTATTGAATAATTGAAGATAAGAGAAGTGAAAATATTTTCTTTGTAATTTCTCTCTCAGTATAAATTCTCTGTTATTTGAATAACATTAAAAGATAATAACCTTTAAGACAACACAATAACAACAACAAAGAGAAAAATGAATTTTTGTTGTTAATGCTCCCTACATGCAAATAAAAACATTTATGCAAATAACATTAAAGTTAATAAAGCAGTTACAAGAAAGTAAAATGCTTTGAATCACAAAATCGATTCAAGTAATTTTAATCGGAATAAAAACGTTTAAGGTTGGGCTTTAAAATAAAAAAACAACAAACAAAAGCAGAAATCAATGCTGCAATAAAAGAATTTTTTACAAAATTTTGTTAGATTTTCTTGGTAGAATTTAAAAAGAAAAGGTCCAATAAACTAATTTTCAATTTTACGAGTCAACGAAATCATAGACGTCTCAATTGAATAAATATTAAGTATACTGGTTCACTTTCGGCTCTTAAATGAGAATTAACATGTAACGGTTAAATAAAGTATTAAAATTCAATCGATTTGGAGCTTTAGTCCTAACTTTTTAACCTTAATTCAAAAATCACATTGACCATTTACGTTAGAGTAAATGTTTATTTGGCATTTAATAATTCGCCTACTATTATCCAGAGGTCACTATCGTACAAAAAAAAAACCGATTTTACACAAGACCGAAATATTCAAAGCTTAATTCGCTTCATATTGGTTGTAGCGCTGATTTTGTTTTCTTTAGTTAGTTGCCTACATTTACCTGGGCCCCACCGTCAGTTGTTATTATGCTGCTCAAGTACCTGAAGCTGCTAATGAACTTCTCTATTTGTTGGTTATTGGCAGTTCCAGACAGTCTGTACTGGAAGAGTTTATTTTTATCACCTCTATGTTTATTTCTAGACACACGTGTCTGAAAAATTGTTCAAGATGTTTTATTTATCTCTGCATATTATTGGTCACTAGCATTTCATTTATCGTTGCTTAGCACTTCTTTTTCTATTGACTATATTTCAAGTCTTGTTAAAGATCCATTTTTGACGTTGGATTTGTTTTCAATCTAGTGTTTCTTCGGCAGCTTCTTTAATCTTAAGGTGGCTCTTTTGGTAAGGTGGCAATTTTTCATACATTCTACTGGGACATCTGCTTGGAATTCGGACGTTGTAGGGTTTTTTTGTAGCTTGATATTATCGTTACTCACTTTCGCGTTCAAATCGCCGATTGGTATGGCTATATCGCTCTTGGGAATTCCAAGAAAAATCGACGTGAGATTGTTGTAGAAGTTTTAGTATTGTATGTGCAGAACCGCTTTTATACCTTAATGAGATATTTGATAAATTAAATGAATACTGCAGATTAATTTACTCCCATTTTGAGATTAACATACAGGTGCTTACTACAAGCAATACTTTGTGCCTTATTTATTGCTATTATATGTAACGGCTATCTACAGCGTTCGTACAATTTCTACACATTCATTTCAAACAGTTTATAAACGTCACACTCGCTCATACAATGGACTCGAATCGTATTTAACCTTAAATTTGCATTAGAAGAAACTTCTTATACCAAAATTCATTTGCAATTTTTATAAGGATAACTGAAAAATTCATTTTTATATTTCATAAACCTCACAGACCTAACTTATTATGTGTACGAGATACTAGGAAAATTATTAAACGCTCTACAAAGTACTAAAAATTCAAACTGAAAATTTCATAAATTCAATTTTCATAATGAAATCGCATCTTATTGAAATATACTTAATAAAAAATTTATTATTATGAGAGACTTATAGAGAGATCATTACTCGTTATTCAGTGTTTATCTTTAAACATTACTTTACCTGGACTTTTTACATTCTCTGCTTATTTATTATGACATCAGCACCAAAGCTTTCACATTTATTGTATTACTCCATTTTCTCTCTTTTGATATAGGAACCTCGTTCTAAATTTTACCAATACCACAATCAGGCGGATACCTATAAACTTTTATTGTGGCTTTATTTTATCGCTGCCCGCAAGTAAAGGATTATTTTTTTTACTTTTCGTTT